GCCGTTTTGATAACCTCAGCCATGCCGTTAATGAACTCCCTAACGGGAAGCGTTTCCAAGAATTCCAGGTCAATGTAGATCCTCGTCGGCTGCCAGATTGTGCCGATCAAGTTCTTTCCTAACGGAGTATCGATCGCAGTCTTTCCACCAATTGACGAATCCACCATAGCCAGGAGGGTTGTTGGAACCTGGACATATCGAACACCACGCATATAGGTCGAGGCCACAAACCCAGTCAGATCTCCAATGACACCTCCGCCCAGCGCAATAACCACAGTGTCACGGCCACACGGGGGGCTTTGGCTCAACATCCAATCTTCGATATCTGCTTTGGTCTGTCGGGATTTAGAGACCTCCCCGGGGGGGCAATGGTACACTAACAACCGTGGCGCGGGGGAAACGGCGGTGGCGGCATCTTCGAAGGTCTTTTGGAATTCGGGGGTATATATCGATCCAATGTTCGTATCGGTGATGAGAACGTAGGTTGTGGAGGGACAGCCGCTGATCAAGTCCTTAGCGACATAGTTACGCCAAAGACCGAAATCAGCGACTATACTCTCCTGTCCCAAAATCTTTATCTTCGTGGGTTCGGCCATTGTTGGAGAGTTGCACGGGATCTAAGTAGTAGCCAGGATAATTTGCAATAGTATTCGACGTGAAAAGAAATCGATATGTCGTTTTAGTTCATGCTGTGGATAATTACAAGAGCTCCAGGTGTTCGTCTGACGCACAATCGCAAGCACCGACACTGGAGTTGGTAGAGAATCGCACGTTGAAGATCACTTTGTCAGTGAGATCTGGAGCGGGGCAGGGCTCGGAAAATGAAATGGACAAGAACGATAATTGAGAAAAAAGCAATTGCTGACAGATGACTCGAGGAAATCTGACCACAATCGCTCTGACCGAAAAAGAAACAGGACAAAACGCGAAAACGAGAGCTTATGGTAGCTCTGTTGCCCTCGTAGTAAGCGGTAGTTGTTTTACCAAAAATTCCACCAGAGAAGATGAATTGACTCACCGTTCGCTCTCCGATGTCGCCCCGGACTCTCAGAACTGCCAATGTTTTGCGCCTTCCGGCCTCCGTACCGCTTTCCGGTATAAGTTTAAAATTTTGGCCACAGATTTGCAGAATTGGTAATGTCAGTGATCGTTCCATCATTTCATGTATTGATTGATCGCTATAGGATTTGTATCTGTTATAACACATATGATTTCTGAGCCCATCCGACTTGATGCTCTTTTCACATCTTTTCTCACTGGTATCCAAAAACTCCGTTCTTTAGCGGTTCAAAACATAGAAACACACATATCTGAAAAAAAAAAAGAGAAGTACACGGAAAGTATACATAGACTACCATTAAGCAACTAACCAAATGAGTCGATCTTAATAGCGACCATATCCACCCTGGTTCCTGGAATTATAGTAGTCCCGGCCTTGGCCTTGACCTTGGTATCCTCCGCGTTGATAGCCTCCACCCCGATATTCAGCCCCTCCGTAGCCAGACTGCCGTCCGCTATATTGACCGGATTGGTTGCCGTAGGATCCCTGATGCTGATGTCCCTGCTGACCGCGGCCGTAGTAGTCGTTTCGCCCATAGTTCGTTTGTTGATAACCTTGTTGCTGAGCATGTCCTGAGCCATAATGGTTCCGGTTGTTTCCGCGGGGAGGAGGTGGGGGACCCCGGGAGAAGTTCGCAGATCCTGGTACTGGGGGAGCCCAGCCAGAAGGCATACCCTGAGCGCCCGAATTGGCTGGAGGCATGAAGTTGGGATCGAGATGCGCGGCAAAAGGATTTGGTCGGTCGCTTGCGTAGTTGATTCGACCGCCCCTGTTCCCATGGCCACCGCGAAACGGCACACCGCCAAACGAACGGCCCGAGTGTTGAGCCTTAGATCTGGTAGCCTGAATGTCGGCATTGTCTAGTGCTGGGGGAGGAAATTTAACACCTCGTAGCAACATCGATTTGTGGATGTGATTTGATTTGGGGATCTCATAGTTGACCCTATACATATATCAGCCAGCTGTAGTAGAAGTGGAAGCTAGGGGGAGAACAGAAACTTACGTCAAGGACCGATCATCCTCCAAAGTGGGCATGCCGTATTCTTCAAGCGAAGATACCAACGAACTATGTGGGATATACGTCTCGTTGCGCTCGACTTTACCTGCTAACCCTTCACTTACTCGCATATTCAACGTGTATTTGGGGGCACCCTGCTTCTTCGAGTAGAAATTGGCAACCAGGTCCTGGTATAGAGGATGGCCGTCTGATAGCAGCAAGACCTCTCGACCAACAGTATTGCGATGCCTCTCATCATCGGAGAGCAAAGGGTATTTCTTTTCCATGGCGGCCAGAAGTCTCTTCTCATCAATAAACGGTAGCAGAACAACTCCCTGCCAAGCGAACTTCTTGCCATTCAAATCCACTGCAAAATCTTCAGGGTAAAAATCAATAATTTCACTCTTGGGGTTCTCCATGAGATCATGGAACACTTCGGGAATGGCGTGGTTTGACGAAGCCGGAAGGACTCCCATGAGCTGTTCGAATGGCCTGAAGGGCGTTCCCTTCTCAAAAGATAGCTCCATATCACCAATATCCACAAAGTCAGCCGCAAAGGGTGCGTAATGATAAGGATAGTACCAATTCCATGATGGGCACCCTTGGAAGTAATACAAAAGAACCCACGCTAGGCCTTCAGCATATGCCCGTGCGACCTTATGGCGGAATTCTTTGTCCTGAGGATCGACGCTAAATTTTTGCTCGTAATAACGATCAGCGTAACCCTCCTCCCAGAGGCGGACAGTATCAGGAGGCATCTCATCATCCTTGGAAGGTTTAGGAGTAGAGTCCGTGTTGTCGGCCGGTGTTTCTGTCTCGCCCTCTGGCTCTTCTGCCTTTCTTTTGCCAAGAACAGATGGCGAGGTCGGTTCTGTTTTATTGTCCGAAGGTTCGTCTGCATCTGGCATTGGAGTGGACTCTGCAGGGTCGTCGCCCTCCTGCGAACCTTTCATAAGTTTGCTCTTCAAGATAGCCGCGGCACTCTTGTTAGCCATATTAGCCCGATAGACAGCCCCACGATTGACTACCATGCTGTGAGTCAGCTCTCGGTTTTCTCGTGATAGCTCTCCTCGACCAGGTATGATTAGCTCCACGTCATTAGGCGGTGCTGAGTCGCCGCCGCCGCCGCCGCGGGCTCGGTTGCTTGCGGGAGGCTCAGAGGGTTCATAGTTAGGTGAGCTCCTTCGTCGTTTCCTGGCACGGTCCCGGGCCTGTGCCTCTTCCTTGCGCCTCTTCTCGTTCGCGAGCTTTTTTTCTTCCACTTGCCTACGGCGGCGGAAAATAGCATCTTCCTGCTTTGCAAGCCCTTGAAGAATAAGTTGAGCTTTTTTGAAATCAACATGGCCGTCCTTAGTCAAGTAACCTCCCATGACAGGGATATTGTCTCGCCATATTGCTATCAATGTGTCGATGCCGTTCTCCCGGATGTCTAAAGAGGGCAAGTGCGGCAGGAAATCATTACCTACGAAGAAGCACATGAAGACCCAATCATCCAAGGCTCGTTCCAGGTCGAAAGGGAATGGTTGATGCGGAACGTACAGCTCGACGGCAAGATATTCTCGGAGGATAGAAACATTGAGCCAAATAAATGGTTTGAGTGATGAGCCTTTGCCCTTTTCATCAAATTGTCCGCTCTTCTCCTTTGCCTGGCCTCTGCATTCTTCAGCCTTGTGGCCTGCCTGGCCACATAGGTGGCATGTTCGAGCTTTAGACTCCTGAAAGAACACATCTTCTCGAAGCACCCTGAAATGAGGCTCGTGAGTAGCGAGACCCAGCATAATCAAATCAGCATCCTGAAAGATGTTAGTTACCTGTATCAATCGGTCAAAGGATCATTCAACAAGCCTACCAAACCATATATAACGTGACGAGTATTCGGATCATGCTCCGGCGCAGCTCGTTGCGACCGGACGAACTCCATGATTTTGTGTTCTCCTTCTCCCGGGACTGTCGCATCGGAAATGATGATTTTAAGCTGCACAGGTTAGACATGGTTTCAATAAATTAATTACCAATGACAAACCTTCTCCCAAGCCGGATCCGTGTTGAGCTTATAAGCAATCCAGTAGCGCAGGGATGCAGCGAGAATGTCCATGAATGGAGTTCCGGGGGTGATGACGTTGCTGTCCCATGTCTTCTGTATAACTTCTTCGTGAATCTCCTGATCCCCTTTACTCTTTTTGAGAAACTGTTTCCGAAATTCTTCCTTCTTCTCATCAGCCTCCTTAGCCTCCTGCGCAGAGCGGAAACGACGTGCACGCTGTTGGTTCATCTTTGCTCGCGGCGCAACACCATCTTTGAAACTTGTTAGCGGTTTATCATCAGAATTTCATTTGAGACAAAAAGTAACATACCGACAGCGATCATCAGGAGTTTCCTCGGGCGGACCATGTTCACAACTCGGTCGGTGTAATTAAAAATCTCCAACATCATCTCCTGCTCGTTCGCCGGTGGAGGCTTTCCCTCTGGGTGAGTACATGGATGGACAATACCATTCATGTCTAGGTAAAGATTATCCAACTCCTCTCCATTGGGGTTCGGACGCGTGGTGTCGACCGGGATCTGTTCTCCATTGACCTCGTAGGGTTGCTCCTCAATAACGGGCGAAATGATTTTCGGGTATTTGTTGGAGAGCCAACGGAATAGTGCGGGAACACCCATTATGGCTAATGCAAGAGATGTGAAAGCCGGTAAAAGCTAGATATGTATAGAAAGACGGTGGGGAGGCGAAAGAGGATATTATCGCGATTCAGATGAACTTCGTAGCAGATTCCATGGGCTGTCGCAATTCCGGACTTCTAATCTGAGCAGCTCACTGGACCTGCAAGAGCTTTCTCCCTGCAAATACTGTGAACCGGAAAAAAATGCGCAAGAAGAAACAGAAACGCAAGGTTAATGGAGGCCGGCCCTTGCAAAGTCCAAGGGGCGATGAAATAAAGATCTGGAAATTCTCTGCGGTGCCAGTACCCGTCGAGTACATTTGACGGTGTTCGGCGCTTCTCTTATCGCGGTTCCGGGAGTTAAGCTTAGCGGAACCTTGGCACGGTTGGAGGCCCCGGGCAGTCTAACTGTTATTGTGCTTGGGTAGCTTCGGACGGGAATGAACAACTCACCTTGTTTGTGAACTAACCCACAGTCGGAGGGTTTATTCCTCAGTCGTTCAATGCCTAACATCTGGTATATCCGCGGCTGGCGGTGATCATGATATTACAAGCAATCAATAACGATGTTTCGAATTCTCGAATCGCAGGCGCCGGCCAAACAAACGGCAACGGATACAATCAACACCCTCAGCAGTAGACTTCAAAGTGCGACGCTACTGGAAGACCGGCGAGCGGCAATTCAAGGCCTGAGAAGCTTCGCGAAAATATATCCTGCCTCTGTTGCATCTGGTGCGCTGCGACCATTGATCAGCTGTCTCAGAAATGATCAAGAGGATGTAGATACGGTCAAGGTGGTCTTGGAGGCCCTGTTGATGTTATTTTCTCCCGATGAGAGTAGCGTTGGTTATCCTTGTTACTGTGTGTATCAATTGCGTATACTGATGAATATTGCACAGCCTGAAGCATCTGATGAAATAGCTCTTTGGCTATCCGATGAGTTTACTCAGGTGTGTCACCCCAATATCCACTGGTTTCTTCTGTTGCTAACGGAGCGAAAGCGACAAGACAATATAACAGCTCTTCTTGACCTTCTTGATACTCGCGACTTTTACTCCCGCTTATATTCTTTGCAATTGATATTTCAAATTTCTAGTGCGCGACCAGAGAGGACGCAGGAGTGTATTCTAACAGCTCCGTTGGGCATTCCAAGGCTAGTCAGTGCCCTGGGCGACGCTCGAGAGCCGGTTCGCAATGGTACGCCAAGGATAAACTCCGTGAAATAGTTATGCAACTATTAGGGTCTCTTGTTAACAACCGTTTTGTTTTTAGAAGCCTTACTGCTCCTTATTGCCTTAACACCTGCCTCGGAGGAGTTGCAAAAACTCGTTGCCTTTGAAAATGCATTCGATCTTCTATTCAACCTAATTGAAAAAGAAGGCTCATTGTCACACGGATCAGAAGTCGTCGAAGACTGTCTCTCTTTGCTCGCGAACCTTCTGAGACTTAATATATCCAATCAGTCCTATTTTCGGGAGACGGGGTGTGTCAAGCGACTGGCGAAGCTCCTTGCCGATGTCAACCACGAGCAGGAATCAGATGAACCCATTCCTCAATGGACCCTTGCCCAGCGAGACAAGAACATCTGGGGTCTTCTGGTTATCATTCAGCTATTCCTAGTTCGGGGTGGGATCCACACGCCTGCTAACCAAATGGCCTTCTGGCACAGTGGCGTTATGGAGCAAGTCTTGAGCACAGCCTTCAGTCAGAGGTTTAGTGTCAATGTTACTTCCAAGGTTTGCTTATTGATAACTATACCCGTGATCTTGCTGGGTGATGCTGACTTATCTAGGCACTGGCAACATGTGCCGATTTGATTCGCGGCAACCAGCCATTACAGGAGAGGTTTGGGGATGTTGAGGTCTTCTGGGGCACACAGCCTGCAGAAGGTGTTTCTAATGGGGACCTAGCAAACAAAGGACTTCAACGAATCAATGTAATCGAAGCATTACTCAAGCTGAGCCTTGAGCCTGCTACACTACAGCTGCTCGATGCGCGCCTAGCTGCCTGTGAATGTGTCAAGGCTTTCTTCGCGAACCATGCCGGAATTCGCGTTCATGTTCTGCGCAGAGCCATCGATGGTCATTTGAGCGGACAAGATGAGATCCCAAATATTTTGACTGCTTTGCTTCTCCCACCAGAATCTCGTGGGAATGCTGACCCATATCAGACTTGGATGGCTTCTGTTTTAATGTTCCACCTACTATTTGAGAACGCTGAGGCAAAAGCAATAGCCATGGGAGTTACTGAAGGCGATGCTGAGAGTGGGGAGGAAGTCATAACTTGCATCCAGTCAATAGTAGGCAACTTACTCACTGGCATGCAACGAGGTGACGACGAAAGAATCTCCGTTGGATACTTGATGCTGCTCTGTGGCTGGCTTTTTGAAGAACCTGATGCCGTCAATGATTTCCTAGGAGAAGGCAGTAGCATCCAAAGCTTACTGCAAGAAATCAAACATCGCTATGTTTCTAACGTGGTAGTGTCTGGGCTATGCACCATTCTATTAGGTGTCATATATGAGTTCTCGTCAAAGGACTCCCCCATACCTCGCAAGACTTTACACCAATTACTGACCGAACAAATGGGCAGAGAGCAATATATTGATAAGATAACAAGATTCAGAGAATCTCCTATGGTTCGGGACTTTGAAGTCTTGCCACAAACGGTCGGTGGGCAGTACGAGGGTGGGCTACCCGAAATATTCTTCGACAAGACATTCGTGGACTTCCTTAAGGATAACTTCGGCCGTATGACACGTGCGATCGACCGTGAACCAGGTTTGGAGATATCAGTCATTACGAACGGCGTTGAGAGAGGAGTCTCGCGTGAACTGGTTGATTCTTTGAAAGCTGAACTCGAAGAAAGGAGCCAGGCAGTGCAGAAACTGGAATTGGATCTAGTTGCCCTGCACAACAGAGTTGAGCAAGAGCAGACCGAATACAGGAAAGCCCGGGAAACCAGTGCCATGGAAATGACCAGAATACAGCAAATCAATGAGTCGCTTCAAAAACACCATGCGCAAGAACTAGCAGCGCTAGAGGAACAACATCAACATGCGAAAAATGAACTCGTAAAGCAGTATGGCGAGCAGCTCCGGTCCATCGACCATCAACTGAAAGAGACTTCCGCTGAATACGAGAGGAAGAGTTACAAAGCTCGGCAGCACCATGAAGCTGAGGTGACCGATCTCCAGAAGAAGATCCGATCGCTGGAAGCGGAACTTGGCCGGACTAGAGAGCAGTATACTGGAGAGGTCGATAATCTGAAAGCTACTATCCAGGCCTTGAGATCCAGTGCTGACAAGGCAAAGGAAGATTATGCAGTCGAAGTTTCAACTTTGCACAACACTGTTCAAAAGCTCGACTCAGAGGCCAGCCAGAGCCAGAAAAAGCATACCGCTGAATTATCCAACCTCAACCAAACTATCCATAGTCTACAGTCAGAGGTCGAGGCTCTTAAGCAACAAAGCGAGAGCAACCTCGCTGAACATAAAAACACAAACGAGAGATTACAAAAGGAACTTGAAACGGCCAAAGAGAAAGCCACACAAGATATCCGGGCTGTACATGACGACTATACCTCCAAGTGTGCTGCTCTAGAAAAGCGAGCTGAAGAGGCGGAGCGGAAAATGGGGCAGAGTGAGTCAGCTGAGCGCAAATCCGCGCAAGAGCTGCAAGAGGCACGAGAAAAATTAAAGAAGGCCCGGTCCGAAGTCAAAGAAAAAGAAGAAGCAGCTCGCAAATCGGCAAAATCTGACGTTGAAGGGTTACGGAAGGAGCTAGAGAAGGTCAGATCAGAAGCCAAGAAAGCAGAAGACGCAGCTCTCAAGTCAGCGAACTCCGAAATAGAAGGGTTAAGGAAAGAGTTGGAACAAGTCAGGTCAGAAACTAAGAAAGCAGAAGACGCAGCCCGTAAATCAGCACAATCCGAGGTAGACGGGTTACGGAAAGAGCTGGAGAAGGTCAAGTCAGAAGCCAAGAAAACAGAAGACGCAACTCGCAAGTCAAGCAAGTCGACAAAATCCGAAGCAGAAGGATTGCGGAAAGAGCTAGAGAAGGCCAAGTTGGAAGTCAAGGAGAAAGAAGCAGCTCGCAAATCAACCCAAACAGAAATGGCAGAGTTGCAAAAAGAGTTGGAGAAGGTCAAACTGGAAGCCAAGGACCAGACCGAAGAAGCTCACAAGGCAAAGGAGAGCGAAAAAATTGCGCAAAAATCCACCCAAGAAATTGATGAGTTACGGAACGAGCTGGAAAAGATGAAATCGGAGGTGAAAGAGAAAGAAGAAGCCCGCAAGTCAGCTCAATCCGAACTAGAGGACCTCCTGATTGTGTTCGGAGACTTGGAGGCTAAGAGGAACGAAGACAAGGTGAGTCACTCGATAGCAATACCCAAGGGTTGCAATTAATTTATACACTCTCTAGAAACGCCTGAAAGACCTCGGACAGGAAGTATCCGAAGCCGAGGAAGATGACGATGACGATGACGAGGAAGATGAAGACGATGAGGAATGAGTGAAATTAAAAAACATGACATGACATGTTTCCCAGGGTCATATATGCCATAATCTCTGTTTTATGCCCGTTGAATTAGAGATGGTCAAGGCCAAGCATTGTTGAGGATCGTTGTAGAAGCCATGATGTAGTATATACATAGAAGGGCAATTCCATAGCCTGAGGTACCTACTACTATCCATTTTTCTTGCCTTAGGAGTCTGCGGCAGGGCGCACTACGATTTGAGTGAGCCGGGGCTTGGCAAAAATTCGGCTCCGCGGGGTTGACTCATTCGTTTCTGCATCTTTTTATTTTACCCCGCGGCCATCCCTCCTTTGGAAACTCACACCCACACGTCAAGACAGAACGTTCGCCCGTCATGTCGATTGACTTCCCTAAGGAGGAGGAACTTACCCTCAAGCGATGGAGGGAGATTGACGCCTTCCAAAGGCAAGTCGAGCTCTCTCGTGGCCGCAAACCGTACACTTTCTACGATGGTCCTCCGTTCGCGACCGGTCTTCCTCACTATGGCCATCTGCTGGCTTCCACTATTAAAGATATCATTCCCAGATATTGGTCTATGAAGGGCCACTATGTCGAGAGACGATTCGGTTGGGATACACACGGTGTCCCCATCGAATATGAAATCGACAAAAAGTTGGGTATGTCGGGCTTGGAGGCTGTCGAGAAGCTTGGAATCGAAAAGTACAACGAGGAGTGCCGAGCCATTGTTATGAGATACGCATCTGAATGGAGAGAAACTATTGAGAGACTTGGCCGGTGGATCGACTTTGACAATGACTACAAGGTAGAATCCCAATCGATGTCCTATTCTTCCTTTTACAAGGAGTGGGAAAACGCCCTCTCGTGACCCATTTATGTGTATTCAGTATGGGATTGCTGACGATATATCTACACTGATTGATACAGACCATGAACACATCCTTCATGGAGTCCGTATGGTGGGTTTTCAAGCAACTCTTCGATAAGGACCTAGTCTACAGAGGCTACCGCGTTATGCCTTACTCCACTGCTCTCAATACCCCCCTCAGTAACTTCGAAGCACAACAAAACTACAAGGATGTTCAAGATCCTGCCGTTGTGGTATCATTCCCTCTGGTGGAAGATCCTGAGACCTGCCTGCTTGCGTGGACTACCACACCTTGGACGCTGCCGATGAACACTGGCCTTGCAGTTAACCCTACCTATGAATACATTAAGATTCTTGATGAAGCCTCGGGCAAATATTTCATTCTGCTTGAATCCTTGCTTCGCACACTCTATAAAGATCCCAAGAAGGCCAAGTTCAAGATTGTCGATCGATTCAAGGGTTCCGTCATGAAAGACTGGAAGTACACGCCTTTGTTTGACTACTTCTATGAAGAATTCAAAGACCACGGCTTCCGCGTGTTAAACGCCGAATATGTTACGGCCGACGATGGTACTGGTGTTGTTCACCAGGCCCCTGCCTTTGGTGAGGACGATTACAGGGTTGGTATGGAAGGCGGCGTTATTAGCGAAACGCGCTTGCCACCTAACCCTGTCGACGAGAAGGGGTGCTATACAGATGAGATTCGCGACTTCGTGGGTCAACATGTCAAAGCTGCCGACAAGCCTATCATCAAGTATCTTAAGGGAACTGGCCGCTTGATTGTTGATAGCCAGATCACTCACAGTTACCCATTCTGCTGGCGCTCTGACACTCCTCTGATCTATAGAGCTGTACCTGCCTGGTTTGTCAAGATCCCCTGTATCATTCCTCAGATGCTCGAGGGCATTGAGAGTTCCCATTGGGTGCCCTCATTTGTGAAGGAGAAGCGTTTCGCCAGCTGGATTCAGAATGCTCGAGACTGGAACATTTCTAGAAACCGATTCTGGGGTACTCCCTTGCCCTTGTGGGTCAGCGACGACTTCAAAGAAATTGTTGCTGTGGGCAGCGCCGAAGAGCTCAAGGAACTCAGTGGGTACCAGGGCGAACTTACAGATCTCCACCGCGATAAAGTGGACAAGATCACTATCCCCAGCAAGCAAGGCAAGGGTGTTCTCCGCCGTGTGAGCGAGGTGTTTGACTGCTGGTTCGAATCGGGCAGCATGCCGTACGCTTCTCAGCATTACCCATTTGAGAACAAGGAACAGTTCGAGAAGAGCTTCCCGGGCGATTTTATTGCCGAAGGATTGGACCAGACTCGTGGCTGGTTCTATACCATGACTGTTTTGGGTACCCATCTGTTTGGCAAATTGCCCTACAAGAACTGTGTCGTTAACGGTATCGTTCTTGCTGAAGATGGAAAGAAGATGTCTAAGCGATTGAAGAATTACCCAGATCCTTCTCTTATCATGAACAGATACGGTTCTGACGCTCTCCGTCTGTATCTGATTAACTCCCCCGTTGTCCGCGCAGAGCCACTCAGATTCAAGGAATCCGGTGTCAAGGAGATTGTTGCTAAGGTGCTTCTTCCTCTTTGGAACAGTTACAAGTTCTTTGAGGGTCAGGTGGCTCTTCTTAAGAAGTCCCAGGGTGTCGACTACGTCTTTGATCCTAAGGCAGAAGCCACCAACACCAATGTCATGGACCGGTGGATTCTGGCAAGCTGTCAGAGCCTTCTCAAGTTTGTGAATGAGGAGATGGCAGGATACCGTTTGTACACAGTTGTTCCCCGGCTACTCGGACTGATTGATAACACTACCAACTGGTACATCAGATTCAACCGGAGGCGTTTGAAGGGCGAAAACGGTGTTGATGACACTTTGCACGCCCTTAACACCCTCTTTGAGGTTCTCTATACATTGGTCAGAGGACTTGCTCCTTTCACACCATTCCTTACCGATACCATCTATCAGAAGCTCCTTCCCCACATTCCAGAGTCTCTCCGTAGTGAAGATAGCCGCAGCGTTCACTTCCTTGCATTCCCTGAGGTGCGTGAGGAACTGTTTGATGAAGTTGTTGAAAGGCGTGTGGCCCGGATGCAAAAGGTTATCGAAATGGCCCGTGTATCCCGTGAGCGCCGCACCCTTGGATTGAAGACTCCTCTAAAGACGCTTGTTGTTATTCATCAAGACCCGCAATTCCTAGAGGACGTGAAGTCTTTGCAAAGCTACATTCTCGAGGAACTGAACGTCATCGAGCTCATCCTGTCATCTGACGAGGAGAAGTACAATGTCCAATATAGCGTGACTGCTGATTGGCCAACCCTCGGAAAGAAGCTGAAGAAGGATGCTCAAAAGGTCAAGAAGTCTTTGCCTTCGCTCACGAGTAATGATGTGAAGAAGTTTGTCTCAGACAAGAAAATCCTTGTGGATGGTATTGAGCTCGTTGAAGGCGACCTTATCGTAAGACGGGGTGTTAAGGAAGACGCATCATCAGAGGGCATGGAGCCCAACGCCGATGATGATGTGTTGACCATCTTGGATGCGAACCTGTATCCGGAGCTGGCACACCAAGGACTGGGCCGAGAAATCATTAACCGACTCCAGCGTCTCCGTAAGAAGGCCGGCTTGGTCCCCACTGATGATGTCAAGATGGAATACGCAATTCTCTCGGATCCTGAGAATGTCGGTCTGGGTGAAGCCTTCCAGACGCAAGCCCAGGCCATTGAGAAGGTTGTGCGCAGACCGCTCGAACAGTTTGAGCTTGTTGATGGCAAGGTCCCCAGTGGAGATGAGGAACGCATGATCATGGAGGAGGAACAAGAAGTCCAGAAAGCGACTTTCATGCTGAGGCTGCTCAAACTCTAGACATTCGAGTAACTTAGATGTGTCATGCCGATGCTTAGATCATGTTCGTCGATAGCTTTTTTATTTCTTAGTCTTTCCGCGAGAGTGTTAAACGATAGCATTTAGTCTATAAAATTATATTTTATACATTGGTTTGCCTCAGAGTTGGTATACCGTATTTCATCACAAGAAAGATAATGAGAATAAAGAAATTAAATAAAAAAAAAAGGAAGAGGCCTGCGCTTAATGCATGCACCTGAAATTTAACGTCGCAACTTGTTCTCACCGTCTTCCTTCAAACCTTCTTCGACGCTGCCTATTAGCAACTCTAGATTAGTATTCGACTCTCCGTAAATTGGATCTTACTCCTTACCAGGAAGCAGTCTTTGAGCTTCATGAACTCTTTAGCACACATGTCCTTATGGACGGAATTGTAGTCAGCAACAATGCACTTGCCATATGCCGCTGCCTAAGAAACGGTCAGATACTGTCATAGCACGACCATACGATAGGTGTATACCTCTGCAGAGCATTTTGACGTGGCTTTTGCAAATTTCTCGATAGGTCTTGTTCTTGGTGATGGCATTTTCTCTTTTGATTTTGCTACTATTTTCCTCTGCCTGATCTTGAAGTGATTTGATGCAATGCTGAGGGAACAGGATATTACATAACCGCATCACATGATCTCTACATTCCACGTTGGGTTCCGCGCGACAAGCAAAACAATTATCGGAGGTTGGGGACAAAGCCAGCCGTCCAATTGCTTCAGCGAACGGCTTCGTTTTTGATCCTCTTTACCATCTCTTATTTTTGACTGGCAGGCTTGAGGCCCATGGGTTCTCGTTTCACGTCCAACCCCGTGCCTCGCAATGGTTGATTTCGTTTTCCGCCTCCATGACCTTTCTGCGAAAAACGCGCCCTAGGTCGCGGACAGTTCGATGCCTCCCGTACCCCCTCAGCGTAGACATTTGTCCTATGAAGACCCGTCGCTTTCAGACGAAGGTGCGTAACGCGTGATCCTAGGGAAGCCTCATTGAAACTTGCATAATAACCGGTTCCCATATGTTAGATGTCGGCCTTCTCTATCAAGTCATCACCCGCGCTGAGCGAGACCCAGAGGTGGAGCGCCTTCCATACAGAGTGTTATTCAAAGCGTACGATGAAGTCATCGCAGAACATGGCGTGGATCCAGATCCAGGCTATGCCTGCTTGCGCTTCTTACTCAAGATGGGGAGCAAGAATATCTTAGGCAATTCCCTCTTTGAGAAATTCGAGAACCTACTTGAACGGATGGGAATAGTCATTGAATTTGGTGAAGACGAAGATGAAGGCAATGACACTTATGCGGACAGTGTGCCTTCGACAGATGGCCGGCTCAAAGCAAAGGTCGATCGCGGCACCGCTTATAGAGAAGGCACTACACAGCCGACCCCAAAGAGGCGAGCATCGTTCAATTCCATGTATGATGTTGGTGATGACCCTACGCAAAGGAGTTTCGCCAATCGCCCAAGCTCGCGCTCTTCCTTATCCCGTCTGCCAATTGACAAGCCCGAATTCCCTAGTACCAGGCCATCACCAAAACGAGCGCTCACTAAGCAGGCTGATTCGACTGACAGAACTCAGCTGATTGCGCAGTTCTTAGATGTTGGACGCCGCCTTATGAACAAGATGGATCTTTTGGATAGGGATACGGATAGACGAAATAATGAAGATCATGTCTCCAATGGAGTACATGCCAGGTCTGCTGTTGATCGAGATCGCTCAAAGAGGATGGCCAAAGCCTCCCGATCTCGCACACGGCACTCACTAAGCTCAGAAGGCTCTGACGGAGATGCAGAGAGTTCATCCGTATCGGCTGAAGGTGACGACTCTGTAGAAAAGCCCGAAGTTCCACTGGAATTGCTGTATAGACCATCGCTCTCCGATTTGCTACGCGATGCATCAACATTTAACATGTATCGTCAACGTGCCATTAACCGGCGGTTACTTACACAATGGTTGAAGAAAGCCATCCAAACTCGACAAAGCCATCAGCATATGGAAGTTGTCGCCATCAATCGCGACAGAGGCACGCTTCTCCGTCAAGCTTTCGAGACATGGCACTCGATCATTCAAACGCAACGGCGAGCCGCACAAACCGACCGCTTTTTTAAGCATCTAGAGGAGCGCGCTTCGCGGGCCCGCGATCTTTACCTCGTAACCAAAGCTTTTACCCACTGGGCGCAGGTCGCTTCGGAAGAAGTAGCAAGGACTTCTGCAGCGCGAAGACATGTGCTAAGTGTCAAATACTTTAACGCATGGCGCGAAATAACAGCTGTCAACGAGTTGAAGGCCCAGAGATTCGCATTGCGACGACCATTCAATATCTGGAAGAGGAAGGTCCATCATATAAAGGATTCCGAGAAAGAGGTGACTGTTGCCCACAACAGAAAACTAATACACGGCATGTATTGGAGATGGTTTTGGTCTTTCTGCGAACGGCGTGCTCCCCAATGGTATGACCATTGTCTCAAGCGGCGGTCACTGCTGTACTGGCTGCGGAAGTTTCGAACAAACAGAGAACGCAACCATGAGATAGAAGTCAAGAACAAACATCTAGCTCTTAGTTCAGCGTGGCAAATGTGGTCTCGGAGGTCTAAAGCGATCGTTACCGGTAAACAGGAGGCAGCAGTCAAGCAGCGTCAACACCTTCTGCACAAAACTCTTGGAGAATGGAAAATCCAATCCCATCTTGCTCCTGCCGCTTCTCGTGTATCTGATATGGTTGATCGACGAATCCTCCAAACGGCATATGTTCAGTGGGTAAAACGGATCCGAATGCTGCAGCACGCGAGAGAAATGAATCATCTGAGAATCCTACGTAACTCGTGGACAACTTGGAATGACCTGCTCCGCTGTCAGGCCCTTAGTGCGCGGATTGAAGAACGTCTGAAAATCGAAACGATGTATAAATGGATATTGGCGGAGAGGTTCTCTCTTATGCAGCGGATTCGAGATCAACGCATAACGCGCGAAGTGTTTTCCAAATTTGTAACTAATGTCCGTCGAACTTACACTCGTCTACTTGACCATGCCGAAGTGCACGAAGACCGTCGGAATGAAGAGCTGCTAAAGGCCAAGCTAATCTGCTGGCGAGACCAGTTCGCGCTTCAGCGTCACCGAGAATTCGTTGCCTTTGAATTCTATGCACCACGACTGCTTCAAGAGTCGCTGATAGCCTGGCGATCGAAATCACAACATGTGGTCAAACTCGAAGGATGGGCTAGCAATGCACAGTTCTACTTTACAGCTACGAGGACACTAAGCAAATGGCATACAGTGGCATTGGAGTCCGCTAAGCGGCGCCGCCAAGCAGCTTACGCAAAGACACGAAGAAAGATCAAGATGAACCTTGCTGCAAACGCTCTGGAAAATTGGCGTGCGAGGGCCCATGATGTATTTGATATGGAACAACAGGCCTTGCAATTCAGCCGAAGAAAATCACTGAGCATCGCGTCTGAACTCCTGCATCGATGGCATGTGCAAACTGCAAAGCGAACTCAGGATAATTACGAAGCTGAAGTCTATCATTCGCGAAGAGTCGCTTACGACCAGTTTATACGTTTGGCAGAGGCCTTGCTGGAATGCCACCGTTTAAATCAGCAAGCAGACAGTATGTATCGTGTACATATCTTGGGGCAGGCGAACGTTTGCCTACGCAGACTTAGTCTCCGTATTTTCCAAATCAGAAGCACCAATGAGACAGCGGAGGCTATGAAAGAGAGAAATTTGAGACGGCATTCAAGGAGTATGTTCCGCCACTGGTTGGAGAAATTGAGAGTGAACCTTGAGGTTCGGGACTCTCCGAGGCCACTCGTTACCCCTGCACGAAACTTCGACGGCCCAAATGGGAGTCTCGGGGCAAATCGATCTATATTCGACCCTTGGTATCAGACTGAGACGCCTTTCAAACCCAACAACTTTGTGGTGGATACCCAAAATGTCTCGACAACTCCAGTGACCACCCCTAACTACCTGACCTCGCCGTCTAAGCGGGCCGTACGGGCAAGGGCACTCGCCCAGGTCTCGACGACTCCTGCAACACCGTTATACACGCCGTTCGCCAGTCGGCTTCTGCGTGCAGGAACTACGGCACCGAGATCTGGCTCCAACCCACGAACCCGTAATGGTCGGGGCAGTTCTCTAGCCACGAGCGTTCGGTTCGTAGACGAGGAGCCAGAATCACCTACGGACGCTAGAAGGTCCGCCAATCGACGGATCTAGATTTCAGAAATCTAGGAAAGCGATATTGGATGTACAGTGTCTTGCTTATTTTGTTCTCCGTTTCCATTTTGGCGCTGTTTGGCATTAGGCTGGCGCTTCTTTTCCTTTTTGATACCCCACTTTGCAAGGCATGGATGGCGCGTAGTTTATTGGAGCTTATTTGAGTTGTTGGAAAGCTGGCTCTAGATTCTGACCCTAGTTTTAGTATTGACCAGTTCGAGTATATAGTTCATTGCAGCCTTGAAACGCTGTATAACGCACAGCTACATACCTCATTTTGGTTTGCCGTATTTATGTACTATATAAATCAGGTCACGGACGTCACTGGACGTCCACATGGCTCAGTCACACGGCGGCAAGTGGAGCGGTGGGCGGAACAACAACGTAATTTAATTGTAGTCCTCGATTAACTCGACCACTTTAAACTTCCCCGAGCTCCAGCTTACCTTCCGTTACTCTATTTGTGAAAAACCCTCGACATTATTCCCTGCGCCTTTTGATGTTTTCGAGGCTCGTTTCGAACATTCCCATCTCGGTTCCTAGCAATGGTGTAATTCCATACTGAGCGCAACGAGCGACACTCAACAACTACCCGCCTCTATGCGAGCGGTACTGCCGGGGAGGCCCCGAGCGAAGCTCCAGTCTTTCAGCACCGCGCTGTGGGATGATCTCCGTGTCGTCGTAAGGGAAAACCGCAATTCAGTCCTCGAATAGAATCATGCGCGAAGGGCAGGCTCTGCTAACACTTGATCTGTTGCGTTTGTTCACTACAGGTTTACATCTCCGGCCATGCGCTGGTTATCCTCGGCGGTCCCCACACCCTCCTGCAAACCATCTACGTCGACGATGCCGAATCTCTAGAAGCTGTGACGATTGATGAAGCCTCTGGCAAAATTGCTGTGTGCGGCGGTCCGGATGTTTTCATTTACCAGCCGTACGGCATCAAGCACGAAACCTTAAAGGTCCGTTACCATGAGGGATGGTTTAAGGGATTAGATATCCACAGCCCGGTTGCGGTTCGTGGAAGCGCAGGACCGAATGCTGATATTTTGTGGGTATAGTGGTCTCTTGTCCATACATTCCGTTACGAGAACGATGATGAGACGATCCGGACCCTGTCATGGGGCTCCCCCGACGAGCTACTCCTAGGGAATTCTCACCTTACACTGTGGTTTCTGAACGATGTGCCGCGTCCAGTGTGGAAGCAAAAGCTTGCGAACCCTGTCAAATTTGCACAGTTCTCTCCCGACTCAACTTTGCTGATTACGACTGGATATTACGACCGCCTAGTCAAAGTATGGCGACGGCTGTCGTTTGGCGCGG